TTCTCCAGTCCTAACACGAACGAAATCATCTACTTTAGGGGGGGGGGGGGATAAAACTTTAAAAAGAAAACATTTTATTTTTTTTCCAGTCCTAAAAGGAACGAAACCATTTACCTTGGGGGGGGGGGGGAATAAAACTTATAAAAGTAGCATATTTATTTCTTCTCCAGTCCTAACACGAACGAAATCATCTACTTTAGGGGGGAGGGGGGTCGCCTCACAAGTTCACTGACTTTTAGGGGATCGCAGCGCTATGTATGTTGAGCACCACTGTGTAACTTGTATGGTGACCGAGGGATCCCAGGCATATCAAAAGGCATTCTCAGACTCTGATATTCATCGGAGACCTCTTTCCCTTTGTTTTAGAAGGCATCGCATCCTCCCCCTCTTTATCCTTCTATCAGAAGGTACCATTTTCCTTCTCGAGTTACATCCTCCCCCATCGCCCCGAAAGGAGAAGCTGCGCCAGCAGCACATACGACGAAGTCCAAACCATCTCGCCCAAGTCAGTCAACCTCACCCCCGCGAGCGGGGACCCGGACCCAGGCGCGCTTCCCTCCTTACCGGCTGAGCAGGAGCGTTGCCACACTGAACCCCAAAAGGATACAGCAAAACAAAGGGTACTGGCGGCAGCGCTCGCGCCGAGCGTCCACCCGGCGCGCGCGCTGGCACAGCTGCTCCACGGCCGCGCGCGCCCACCTCATCCTGGAGGGGGGGAAGAGCCCGCGCCCCCGGCTTCAGCTTGAGCCGCGGATCCCCAGACACCCCGCAGCACACTTGAAGGGACCGAACGCCCCTGCCTTCCGGTTTCCACCACTTGATCCCTTTGCATCACGTGGCGGAGGGCTAGACCAATAGCGTCGCTCCTCCAGGGCGGAAGATAATTCTAGTTGGCCCCAAAGCCGTTCCTGTTTATTTTCCCCCCGTTTCTTTAGTTAGCGCTAACCGCGGTTTGAAAGGAGCGGAATTGGGTCTCCTCTCTGACTCTTCTCACGATCTCCGAAGTTGCAAAAGCCATCGGCAAAACAAGGAGGGGCAGAACGGAGGACAGGGAGGCACTTCCGCCCTTTCCTTGCCTCATCGAGTTGCCCTTTAGCCTGGAGGAAGTAAAGCCGATTAAAATGGCCGCGCTAATACTTGCCCGAACGCCGAACCCCTCGCGTTCTGTCGGATGCGAGCCTTGGAACTCTAGAACGCCGTGGTCCCCGTCATTTACAAGGCGGTCTAGCAATTCCTTCCCGAACTGAAGGTCCCCAGCGCTGTATATCCTGCCCACAAATCCACAGCGGTAAGATTGCAGAAAGGAAGGTGGCTTTTCGATAGTGACGGTGAACTTGGGACCCAGATGCGGCTGAATATAAATTTCAATTTTCATTACCTGCAACTAGTATGGGAAATATTGAGGGACGCTGATAGTTGTGCTTCAGCAACCTCTAGCGTATACAGTACCTGTTCATCACTTCTGATACAAACCAATTGGACGTTACCAGTTGCATTCACCTGCTCCTCTAATGATATATAGTCCAAGTATGATTCCATTGAGGACTCAAGAGGACTTCAACTAAACAGATTGTTAGTTAACGTCTCTTTCTTGGTAAAGTGCTTACGTGGGGTTACTGACCAATTCCCATCATGTCTGATTTACTGTTAAATTGCTGTTCTAGATTAATTTAAATCTGGCTTTTGGCTACAAACCTGTCTTATTGGATAAACTTTGCCAAAAATGAGAGACTGTCACACCACTCCAAAATCTTCTTTCCTGGCCGTATTGGGGGACTGTTGCTGTGTTTTCTGGCAGTTTTATCATGTACACCCCAGGCCTTTTCCCCTCAAATTATGCCGGTGTAACTTCTAGATGAAACCACTGGGAGAAGTTATCCAGGAATGTGGGCAGTTCACATCTAGCTTGCTTTAATCTACCCCTGATGAGGCAGCCAGTGGATATTCTGATGTACATTAACCTGAGCAGGACCATGACTTAAGAGTCTTGGGAAATGGGATATACATACCAGTAAACTGATAAGTAAATAAACAGAAACTTATCTAGACAAGACAGGCACTTGTTGGGTGGAGAGCCTATGCAGGTGAATAATGCCCAACCTGGCCAAAGGTTGCGGGACTCAAATTTGCACTTTGCAAATGTTCTTAAATCTAACATTATTACAGGAGAAAGACTGCCTAAGTAGCTGGGAGTTTATCAGCTTTGGTCAATACACCACACACAGGCCGTATCAGAACAGACTGACTTCGGTTGTATTGCTCCAGAAACCTCTCAGCTGAGCTAACTAGAAATGACTGATATAAACTGACTACATTATAGACCTCCAAACTCATCTCCAAGTCCATTTCTATGTTAGTGGTGACCTTTAAAGCCATGAACAATTTGGGTTTGAAATATTTACTTTCTCAGCCCAACTAGCAATCTTTGGAGACTCCCCTGTTGTGAACCCCATTCATAGAAAGTCTTCAGTCATTAATGCTGTTTTCTTGGGGGAAGTGTAATCCTCCTTCACCAAAGCATTAAAATGCATTTGAAACTTCTGAGTTTGGTATTTTAAATTTTAAGTATCTGCATTATACAGAAAGATGGCTTTTATGTCATATGCTTTCTCTTGTGTTATGATGTATCCCTTTAATAATTTTGTCATCCATCAGGTTAACTACTATTGTGCAAATCAATAAAATTAGTATAAAACTTACAGAAAAAGATAGCCTCTTACATTTCGATAAACTATAATTTGGCTTGCTATGCAGTGTGAACTGGCCCACTAAGTACAGGAAGTAAAAATTAGCATTCTTTTTATGCTTCAGTTTTGTGGCATAAACAAAAAGCAGAGTATGCAAGATCATGTCAAATTCCCACAATCTAAGCAAGAGTTGGGAAGTTTAAAACCAAAAATAATTTAAAGTACTGTAGTTTTCTTATCTTTAGCCATTTTTTCTTCCAGAAAATTTGATGTCATTTTAACAAAACATACAGATCCTTATAACAAAATAGTCAATACTCAACAACAAATCAAAAGTAGTTTCAGAATTAAGTATAAAATGCAAACCACAGAAAATGGGCACTATGTTTAACTTTCATAATCCAGAAACAAATTCAAAAATTAAGATCTTGCAGAAAACACTTTGGGAAACTCATACTGAAAACTCCTAAATAGTTGTGTTTTTTACAAAAATCTCATTCTTTTATTAGAAAACAAATGAATCTTCTTATAACTAGAATAGATGCCAATTCTTATGATGCCTGATTAAAACTGAGGGATTATTATGCCCTCTACTTACCAGACGTAAAAAGTACAGTAGAGTATCAAGAGCAAAGCTCATCTTCCTGCTCTCTTTTTCCATTAAGCCATCATGCAAATTTGAATTTCATTTGAATACAAATGAATAGTCTAAGAAAATTAATCCAAGTCTGGTAATTCTTGACACAACCATCAAAGTGTCTGCACATGCAATTTTTTCATGTACTATGTGACAGTCCCAGCCTGTAATTCCACTACAAATAAGTACTTCAGTGTGACATGGTGTTCATGACATGATTTGGAATACAGTGAATTATTTGGTTTAAGCAGTTATGTTCTGCATTTGAGATACAGTCCTTATATATTGTTCTGTGAATGGTGTTCTATTCATAGGCTAACTTACATCATTTTGCCCCCAACATCTGAATCTGTGAGTTGAGGGACCTTTCCAAATTGAATGGGAGGCAGTGTGCTAGGCTGAACAATAGTGGCAAATTTTCCTTTCCTTGTTCCTATCTTTTGTCTGCGGAAGGGACTTGGATAAAATGGAGGCTTTTGGAAGCCCCTCCCCCCAATAATTCCTTCAAGAATTTTATCTCACCTGTTTTATCTCTCATAATCATACTCAAATGTTATTACCTACTTACCTGCATTGTTTATGCACAACCTCTTCAGAACAGCAGACAATCATACTAACATCTCCCTATTCTAGAAGTGTATTAGGATTAAATATATATGACACTAGTCATTTAATATTAACTTTATGTTTCTAAGCGTTTCATCACATACACTATTCCTAGAATTCCAAGCCTGTTTTGGGAAAGTAGTATAGACCTCAAATAACATCTTGAAGTTTTGTTCTAAAAAGTACTAACATGTGTAATACTTTCAGTGGCATACTGAGGCATAACACAACTATAGTAAATACAATGTCACAAGTTTCTTTGGCAGCAATTAAATCCAGCAAGACTCATTGCTTGATGAAGACTACAGCATCCAGTTAGTCTTTCTGATTTAGCTTATAAGCAAACACTGATTCTAACCTCAAAAGCAAGTAGTACAATCTTAAGCAAAGTTATCTGAATTTCATTTTTAAAAGGAATATCTGAATTTCATTTTTTTAAAGAATATCTGTTGATGGAATCATCATTTGAGTTTCATTTCCAACGTATTCTTTCACCTTTTACTGTAATCAAGTATGGCTACCATCATCTCTCCTGTCCACTTCATACAACGTAACTTTCTACCAAAAGGACTATCAAAAATATATGGACACTTTTTCGTAGTTTTCTTTAAAGCCATCTTGTATACTGAAGGGCAAACAGAATTTCAGGATACCTTTATGTAGCTCATAATTTCTTCTCAGTTAATGATTTGTCAAAATATGCTATAAAGACTGTCTTAAATTGTGCTTAATTTTTGATGACCATGCCAATACCTCCATGTAATTTTGCTGGCAAACTAATGAAATAGTTGCAATTGCCTTGTTCCAGGATTTTTTTAAACTCCTCAATCTAGCCTATAAGCCCTGGAATTTACAGATCTGACCTTTAGCTTTTTTTCAGTTCAGCCCAGCTCAGTTATGTGCTACCACCTGTGATATAAGAGTACTTATTAGAGTATAAACAATCAAATTTAGTTTACTCACCACTTCTTATATTCACTGATGTTCGCAAATATTGTTGCTTATCAAGTTCACTTTAGTTCAGCTATATACTATATAAACTGTAAAGTCTAGAATAATAGCTTTAAACATGGGTTCCAGGAAATACTACTTTTCATTAAAATAGACTAGGTTCCAATTCTTGGTCTTCTAAAAGTTGCAACAGTAACTTGCATAAGCTACTCAGTTCTGGAACACAAATACCTTCATTAATATAGAAGCTAACACAGAACTATATACCTCCAACATTTCTGCTGTAATACAATAGTAAACCTCTGTCTTACTATGACAACAGGATGTGTGATATTTCATAAGCATCATATCCTGATAACTTCAATAAAAGCTGATGTGATCTACAATATTGACATCCATTATGATCAATTCAGTGTTACCTAAAAATCATATATCAATATATATCCAATAGTGAAATCTCATTTCATTTACATATCCAACTTTAAAACTTTCAAAATTAACATTTTCTCTTAAAAGATCAATTTTTCACAATACAAGTTTCCACATGCATTTTACTGTAGCTTTATCATTATACTGTTAAAAAACTGCACCAATGTCAGAACAGTGCAAATAATGTTTAATTGTAAAAGTCAGAATGGCTTGAATTCATAATTATTTGAGAACACTGTCAAGATTCTGTTACTTATTACTCACCATTGCTTACAAACTCTAGAGATAGTCAATTCCAGCCCACTTTGACGTGTATCCTATAGCCCACCTTCTCTTGCAGACATGCAACTTCAATTTCAGCTTCTATATTATTGTCAATTTTCATTTTTAATCTGTATCAATATTTGTTCTGAATAAATAATGATCATTTACTTTTTTCTTCCCCAAGTCAAAATCAGTCATACTTGAAAGCCTTTAAGAAGTTTGTTTTTTCAGCAATGGGAAGGATTTGGAAGATACAAGTTAAGACGGTTTTCCCTCTCTCCAAAACTCAATTAAGGATCAGGTCAGATTTGGCGTGAACACCTTGACAGTGCTCTTCATAAAACTATGACAGTAAAGATGCCAGTTGGCACTACAACCTCATTGAAGGGAGCATTTCAACCTCCTTGGCACTGGGATTGCCAATACCAAGGATTACAATGAAATCAAAATTGAATTTAAGGCTACATTTAGCAAACCTAAGTTCGATAAACCTCATCCTATCAAGTTTAAGATTTTAGAAGCTGATGCAACACTCATATTTCTTATCCAAATACGGAAAGTAGAACTTTACCATGGGCAGCATATGAAACTGTGGCAACAGGTGTTTCATTAAGCAATGACTTTTTACCATCAGCCACTTAGCTTCTCTTTTAACTAGCAAGGCACATTTACATATTCCCATGAATACTTGACAAATTTTAAATTACACTTTATGTCCCAGCTATCCCAGTAATTGACATACAATATACTAAAATGGTTTATTAAGATAACAAAAATTCAATTAATGTGAGAGACAGACTACTGGAAATGACTATTCTAAAAAATGTAAATACAAGTAAACATACTGAAATGTGTGCGCACGAGTTTTTAAACCAGAAGATTTCTGCACTAACACACATTTATATTAATGACACATAAAAAAAATAAAAACTTTATTACAAAAATAAGTTACACTTGCCTCCAGCTTACAGTATAAAACAATTTTATTTGCAGGAATGCAAAATGATTGTTTGCAATGAGCAATTTAACATATGACATCTATTTTTTTGTTAATTTTTTCATTTACTGGGGAACTGGTGTGTATAAAACCTTAGTTCGGTGTCTCAGATCTTATTGTGGTGCCTACAGGTAAGTAACAACTGCAGTATCCCTTTGGGGAAGGTATAACAAAAGCTTTTTCTGTGAAGTCCATATTAGATCATAGTTTATCTTACCTATGCATAGTTGGACTTGACAGAACTTTTTGGAAGAGTGATTCAATAGAGGATGCTTCACCACTTAACACTCACTGTCATCAAGGTGCTTTAGAAAATTAAAACATAGCACAAATGATTGTATTCTACTCTACAGATTATCATGATCTGCATAAAGAGAAAATGGAAAGCTGATCTGCTTGTTTTTACAGCAATCAGCAATAAGAAATGCACTAATGAGAAAACATACCTTTACCTAAAAAGCTAAACTACAGCCATATACTATTTTCTATGATTTATGAAAAACTTCAAAATATCCAAATGTCAGGCTTCACTGTACAGCTGTCAGTTTTAGTCTGACCTTTTATAAAGGGACACTGCAGTATTTAGTACAAGTTGCTGATGCACTTTTTTAACATTTGATGTCTTACAAAAAGTAACATCTTGCTAAACTATTATACATCCAAATAACTACAATATCTGAAGAAGCAAGGCTGCTTTTTCAGCCACAAAATACGACAAAAACAAGGCCTGTTATGATGGACAGGAGGGAATCTTTTACAAAGCCTCTGAAATTAAAGGCAACTTCGAATGTTACATTTGGTATATATTTTACCCTCTTGTCAAAATTAAACAAGCCTTGATTTTATCTACAAAGATTTTCTATGTACAGTACAGATAGGGTATAGTTCAATCCTCTGCTACTGAGGTAGTTAACCAACCCTTTAAAAAAGGTTCTGAAAAGAACCACTATCTGGAATGCCTGACCAACCAGCTTTGATGATTACACCTGAAACTGCTGTATCTGAATACATTTCAAAGTGATTACCATATAGACAACCATGATTAACCTTGATGAGCAGAAATAAAAGTTAAGGATACCAATGATGGTATTCAGCTAATATCACTGCAATAAAATTTTCAGAGCAGTAAGAGAATACCACTTTAGGGATCCAACTTTAAAAACAACAGGGAAATTCTACTTTAAGTAGACAGGTCTTTCCTTTTTTTTTTTTTCCTTTTTTTAAAGAACTGAACATTTATTAAGAGGCCATGCTATAGATAAATTTTGTAGAACACATTGGGAAAATATTAGCTTTAGATTTATAATTTGCACTGCAGAGAAAACTTAATAGAAATTCATATCAAAGTCCAAGTGTCCCATATTTGATTCCATGATCTTCACACGAAGGATCTTCTACAAAATAATTTGCTCCTATACAGCCGAAATACTTAAGGTTGCTTGATTTCCTTACCATTACTCCACTGCAAGCTTCTGGTGTAATCCCACTTAGCAAGTCAGTCTTCATTGTAACAGGTCAGGACCGGCCTCGACCCCTTTTCCCTGCTAGCCAGGTAACAAAAGGAATCAGTTAGAGAAATATTAAAATCAATAAGTCTGTTTAAAAATATGAATAAAAGTAATTGCAATATATTAAGCCAAAAACAATTTATAATTTAATGTTCATTAACTTTGGTATCTTTCCCCTCCCCCCACTTTTTGGGCTTTCTATTTTGTTCAAACTGATTTTATTTATAAACTCAACACCTTTTGCAATTTTGGTACTTAGTGCAATAACTTTAAATTATAATATTTTCATAAAGGTTACAGATAAGAATTCTGAAAATTATATAGAGCGTAATTCAATACTGTATATTCATTTTGTTAATTTACAGTTAACTAATAACATGCATTTCTCTTTGCTATACGGTGCATGCTCTAATTTGGGGGGTGGGATTTGAAAATTAAATTTAACAATCTGGGCAACCATTTGAGACACTTTCCAACATGAGGCTGAAGATCACATGAAGCATATCAATTAAATTATTTCAAAGCTGTAAAGATAAGACATCCTCTTTAATGCAACTTTCAAAAAATCAATATATACGTGCACACGTTGGCTTGAAAGTTGGACAAGTTTTAAACAAACACTAGTTTAAAGAGGATGCAACAGGCAAGACATTTTTCAATTTCCAACATGCATATTCTCTCAGGCTTGTTCATAACCTACACATTAAGTTCTGTAAATCTAGTATCTATTACTACAAATCTAATACTGCATTACTTTTAGAATTTTATCTTGAAAGGAACTTGAATATTATTAATTTAAATTTTAAGATTCATCTGGAGAATTGGAATTAACTTTGATCCTTCTTATTCTGAATTTAAATACTTACCAACTTAACTTACTACTTGAACTTTATCATTTGATTGAAACATTGTCAGTTGCAAAACTATTACTTTTATACCAGAAGCAAAGAATTGTAATAAATCAGCACTGCATATTTTGCTAAACATATTCCATACAACAAATACAAGGCACAAAACCTTTAAATTGCCTTGCCATGCTACATGAAATTTGAACCAAATTTGCAGTAAAATTTGCCAAAAACGAATTGTAAACACAATTTTAGAACATGTACATTTAGGTTGTGAATTTTATTGAAATAACAACAGCATAAAGATACAGGTAGCCAAAATGAATTGAAAAAAACCAAATTAGTTCAGCTCTAAATTAAAAAGCAATTGTGTAATCAATTTCTTTTTCTTAGCAATTTAAGTTGGTAACATACAAAACTCTGATACAAGCTGTTTGAAGCAACATTTTAGTTTTATCAACTACCTTTTTATAAAGACATCAAGACTAAACACTACTGAAACAATGCATGCACTATAGCCAAATAGACTTGAGCCAAGTCTTCCCAAGCAGTAATGAAAACTAATGTCTATGAATGCCTTTATTGGAAAAATAAAATGAAAATAAAATCAGTTCGCCAGAAGCAGTTAGAAGTGTGGTTTTGTTCACATCCAAGCGGATTATTAAAATATATACATAAAGGGAATCTTGCCAGATGTCACAAATTAGAGCGGCAACCGTTCAGATTTAGGGCCAGTTTCTGATCAACCTATCAGTCTCTAATTTTACAGAAGCCCTAATTGTTCTACTTCCACTGCTGCCCAAAAGAATCCTGATAAAACTCCTGGTTTTCAGATTTGTAACCATAGTTACCAGAATGATCACCACCTTGGAGCGGTTGCTGAGCAATGGGTTGGGAGCCCCAGTTCTGATTATTGGTCTGGCGCCGCTTGGAATCTGGCTGGTTGTACCCATCAGCTTTGCGCTTTCCTCCTACATTTCCACCGCGGCCACCCCTTGCACCACGTACCCCGCGGCCTCTTTGTTGCTGGGCACCTCCTCGCGCACCACGAACACCTCTTGCTGATCCAGGACCACCTCTTTGTGCATAACCGGCTCTGCCACGGGGAGGAGCAGCCCCGCGACCTCTGGAAAGAGCAGCACCCCTTGCTCCTCTACCACCCCTTCCTCTAGCTCCAACTTGAAAATCTTCATAACCATAGTAAGGATCTTCATATCCACCACGATAGTTATGGTAGTCATAGCCATAGTAATCATAATAATCTTCATATCCATAGTAGTCAGGAGGATATCCATAGCCACCTCTACCTCCTCGACCTCTACCTCTTGTTGGTGGGGGCATATGAGGAGGGCCATAGTAGTAATAATCATCATACCTGGTAAGAAATATTTTAAAAATACAAAATTTTAATCCCATCCCATGCACTTAATAGAAAACACATTTATGTTATCCACATTATTTCATAGTTAAAAACACTTTCCTCAAACAACAGAACTGGTAGTCCTCATTTAATGACTGCCTCGTTTAGTGACCATTTGCAGTTACGACGGTGATGAAAAAGTAACTTTACGACCAATCCTCGCATTTACGACCTTCGCAGGTCTGTAAAGCAAAGGAAAGCTGAAGTAAGATCATAAGCACAGTCGTGGTTTCATTTAGCGACCGCTTTGCTTAACGACAGAATTGCTGGCCCCAATTGTGATCACTAAACAAGGACTACCTGTAGTATGTTTGACTCTACTATTATATCTCAAGATATTCGATGCAACATTGATGGATTCAGAAGGCTATCTATGGCAGGCAACTACCTTTCATGAATTTTACCAGTTCAACTATTTTCACCCATTTTTTAAAAAAATGTAGATTAACATTATTAACAAAATCACATACCTCAGTTTTTATTTTACTAATATGAAAGTCAAGAATAGGACACACTATTTCTAAGACAGTGCATATTCTTAAGATAATCTAACTAGGAAAGATCTCTTTGTTAATAAGCAGTGCACTAGGATTGTCATGCAGTCCTCAATAATCCTGTTCAATAATGGACCAGGGTACTAATCCAGGCAAACAAGGACACTCAGCAAAAAAAAAGCTGCATTAAAACATCCAAAATAGACTGCCAGAAAAGCTAGAATAGATTTTTGGAACAGAGTATGGCATCTGCAAGTGTTTTTTTCCCCCTTTTCATTAATATGGAGCATCTGATTGGTTGGCCTAAGGGGAGGGGGGATATTGGCACATTGACTTCATGATATGTTGGCTCCGCTGAGTCTGATTTGTTCACCCTATCCCTAAACTATTATATTAGAACACTTCCACAAGAGCAGGTGAGGCATCTTTAGAACCTGTCATCAGTGAAGTATTTCCTTCCAAATACCATCTGATCATTAAGATCTCTGTGCCATTTCATTCCCATTGTATATAGATTTAGGAAGAGAGGAATGTAAATTGGTTAGAAGTTGAAAAAATAGGGAATTTTAATGTTCCCTTTTATTACTCCTAGTCTTTCTCCATTCCCTCGCAAAAATGGCAAATGTTCTTTTTCTCTCCCTTTCCATACCAAGGGTAACAAAACAGTACTTCTAGTTTGTGCTTCAGATTAAACTAAAAAATCAAAGACTAAATTAGGAACAAGAACTGCTATACAGAGGGAAAAGATAATTTTCTAGTAGGGACATGCAAAGTATTGCATCATAAAACAGCTATCTCATGTTTCAAACAGATTTTTCTGATGCATCACAACTGTTTCAAGCTCGAAACACTTCTGGAAAGACTGGTACAACTTGTTGCAAACTGAACAAGTTACAAATTTGAGGTGTTTCGCATACCCCATTTTTCTAGCTTTTAAAACTGACTAATCAAAAGTCAAAAGCTAAGCGTGATCAGTGTTTTAATGGGGTACCAAGGACCATAAGCTAAACTGAAAAGTCAAAAATGGAAAACTGCCAAGGTTAGCAAGAAAAT